TGAGAGAGGTGAAGTGCCTAGCAAGGCACAAAAAAGCACACAAATTTGATTTTTAATTTGTCTACCTTCTACAGATTTCATTTTTCTCTTGGAAATCTTGGCCAGCAGGCCCCTTAAAGCCACGTCCCAGGACCCTGGCATCCTTCCATCCCCAACCCCTTTTCACCATGATCTGTGTCTGTTCCTGCTCCTGTGTTTGCAGGATGAGGAAGCAGCATTGTCTAAACAGCATCTGTTTGAGCAAGGAAACAGCAGCAGAAAGGTGGCTGGAGAAGACCCCATTGCTCATCTGCAACAGCTGAACCTCCCAGTCACACATGATTTCAGGATGCTGTTGCTCAGTTTTGCATCTTGTTAACTTCTCCCTGCCTAATGAGGCCCCTCCTCTTCCCTGCACACCTCATGCCATGCCATGATCACCCCATAGACTTGTGCCTTCTGTCTCCCATCAGTGCCCCATGGCTCCTGGTTTGAACATGTCCGAGGCTGGATGGAGATGAAGGACAGGGAGAATTTCTTCTTCATCACCTACGAAGAGCTGAAACAGGTAGTGATCTTGGCAGACCCACCTGCTCCCAATGTGCTGATGTGTCACCCTAGGTGGTGACAGGCTTATTCTGTGTCCCTAAGGACCTGCAAGGCAGTGTGAGACGCCTCTGCCATTTTCTGGGACAGAATTTGGATGACGATGCTATCTCCTCAGTAGTCCAAAATGCCTCCTTCACGGCCATGAGGCAAAACCCTATGTGCAGCTCCATCTTGCTCCCTGCAGACATCATGGACCAGACCAAAGGCCAGTTCCTGAGGAAGGGTGAGTAGAGAGTCCCCATAGAAGTGCTGGGTTTTGGTGCCCCAATGGGGAGCCAACGGGGAGGACGTCAGTAGGATGTGCACAACTGAGTCCATAGGGATGGCTATTCATTTTGGACTGCTCTTCATAGTGGTAAGTGCACCCAAAAACTGTGCAGGAAGGAGTATTGTACAGTGGTTTGTGCTCTGAAACAGAAATATTCCTTCCTCAGGCATCTGTGGGGACTGGAAGAACCATTTCACAGTGGCACAGAGTGAGACCTTCAACAGAATCTACCAAGAGAAGATGAGGGGTTTGGACGTGGCCTTTCCTTGGGACAGAGACCAGGATCCAGACCTAACTGAGGCCATCTGAGTAATGAGTATCAGCCATCTATTGGCAACAGGGGTAATGGGTTGCTGTTGGACACAGGGAGTTGAATCCTGGGGTATAAATGTCTGCAACATGAAGCAGAGTAACTTTTTTGGTAGCTGCAACCAGCTGAGATGTTTTCCTGGGGTAGCAGGAGAGCAGCAGAGAAAATAGGGAGGGGGATGTGTGTGGAGGTGCCCTTTCTATTTGCAGTTCCCAATACATGGGTGCTCTGAATCCATGGAGTTTTTCCAAGCATGATGTACACTGTCAGGTCTGGGTATTGCACAGGATTGAATTCCTGGGAAAGAATGTCTGTACAAGGCAGTGTTGCCAGTGCACCTCTGTTGATCTACTGTTGATCTATTATCATAGAAACTAAACTAAGTGATGAGTTTAAATGAAGCAAAGCCAACTGTGTGCTGTATCATGGGGATTTACTAGCTCAGCATAGTCAGTGAATGGGAAATATGTGCTGCAGAACAGGAACTTCCTGAGATTCTACCCAAGAACTAGCAGGATCATGGCCAAGTGCATTGCAGATAGTCAGACTTGTAAAGACTTTTTGTCTATGTCAAACCCTACAGAAGGACTTAGTGATATCAAAGAAGGGGAAGACTTTTGTGCATTTTGGCTCAGACACGGTTCTGTGATGTGTGTATCTCCAAGCCTCCACAGAGCATACAGGGAAACCCAGCTCTTTGCAAGTGCCAAAATACAGCTTGTAAAATACCCCACAGCTTTACTTCCTGGACATCCTGCCAGAGTCACTTAGGCATGACTCCAGCCTTGGCCAGACACAACCTGATCTATTCAGCCATAGAAAGTTATCTTATGGACAGTGAGCAGTGCCTTCCATATTGGTAGGTCTGGCATGTTCATGTTGTGCAGTGTCATAGCTAGAAAGTGACCCAACATATAGTAAGACTATTAACCTAGTTGGCAGTGCAGACTGACGTGTTTATGGTGGACCCATTCAGGCCCATCTCATTCTGGTTAATGATCATTAGCGTGGGAGCTTAGAAATAAAGGATATGTGGCACAGCATTAGCAGGTGCCTACAAAGTTATGGTCAAAATTGTTTCCTCTTTTATAAACTACAGTAGAATGATCTAGCTCGTGTGCTGATTGCCTTATTTATATGTTTGCATTCGAGCTATGTGTGATGCATTCTACACCAAGCATGATTATTACTGTCCCACCAGCCTGCTAATACTGTGGGTTTGGGCCACTGCCTTAGCCAGACTTTGTAGAAACTGATTATCAAGCAGCTTGTGGGGCAACAGGCTATGTTCATATCCAAATAAAGATGAGTTAAGCGCTGTGTGGTGTCTCCAACGTCATTCAGTGCACATATGGTACCCACTTTGACCTTGGAGATATTAAAGCATTAGATACAGGCCTGATGCGATGAGCAATGATGCATACAAAAGCCTTTTATTCAATATAAAATGACCGAAAGGCTTTGTTGGCTACTGGAAAAGAAGTTTTAAGCCTCTTAAACTCCTTTTCCAGCAAGAGAAGAGCGTATGGAAAATGCAGCAAATACAGGTGTTCCAGCTGAAGAGTTATTTTCATGATTGCTGTTTCTCCAGTTAACTCACATCATGAATATGTAGAAACTAAACTCTGTGCTCAGGGGAAGCCATCATTTGTATTTTATGCCCTTGAATGTTCTCACCTCGGATCCACCACCAAATTTCGCATTGCATTAATGCACTGATGTCAAGTCCCAAACAAAATCTCTTTGGTAACTTGTTTCAGTTCTCACATCTAATCTTCATCCCATAGAAAACAGCCATGACAGGCTTCTTAAGATCCCGCTATCTCAAATATATTGATCTGAGGAGCACAGCAAATCTGTTGTCAGAATGTGGAGTGAAGAGCATCTCCAAAGCAAGCACTGCGAAGTATGAGCATTGCTACCCAGGTGCTCTGTGTGATACTAACCCACCAAAGTTTGGGTATAAGCTCTTTCCCACCTTGGCTGCACAAAGCCACACTCTTCATACTCTTTTTTACACTAGGAATGCTAATGATACTAAATCTGGATCCTCAGAACACGGTGATGATGTTATTAGGAGACAGCACAGACACTTATTATCTTCAGAGAAACTGATCACCTGGTTAAAGACACAGGAGGTCTTTGTCGTCCCACGTTCATAACAAACTGATAATGATGATGCTAAAGCAGCCAAAGACACTGCTTTCCCTGGTGTGAATGCACTGGACAAATCAAATGTGTGGCTGCAGTAAAATCAAGACACTTAGCTTATTTTCATGCTTTCCTGAGGAGATGCATCAGAGCTGGGGTCTGATCCACCTGCTCCAGCACAAGGTCGTCTGTGGGATGCAGCATGGAGATCATGAGAGACAGTGGTCACACCTGTAATGTCCCATTGCCACTTGAACCCAAACATTAGGTCAGACATAGAACAAAATAGAATAGTTCAGTAGGAAGGGACCTAAAAAGATGATTGGGCCCAACAGCCCAATCTCTTCACAATTAACTAACCACTGAAACATACTGTTATGGGCATTATCCAAATGCTTCTCACCATAGTTTTGGCTGGGAAATTTGTATATCCATTTTATGTACTATTTCTCCATCGATCCTTTTACAGAGCTCTGTTCTGCATTTTTGATGAAAATAGTGCTGATTCCTTACTGGTGTTTAAGCTGCTGCTGAGTTTATGTTTTCATCCACCAAACTGGCATTCTTATCATACAAGGAGATCAAGTCAATAAAATAGGATTTACATTTTAACCTATGCTGGCTATGGTTGACTGGCTATGACTGAAAGGAAATCTTCTTCAACAGCAGCAAAACAATGTTCTCCGTTACTTTTCCAAGGACTGAGGTTAGACAGACAGGTCTGTAGTTTCCCAGATCTTCCCTCATGCCACATTCCCACTTTGAATTTACTGGACTGTTGAGATAAATCCATTTCTAACATCTGCTGATTCCTTTGGAACTCTGGAGTGGATCTCACCAAGCTCCGTGGTTTTATGAACAACAGGACCCTTACAATTTCAGTGGCCACAGAAAGAAAATCGCTGCTCCCTTAATAATGAACCTGAAACTCACAGTCCATCATTTGCATTTTATATCCAAGATTATATTAATACTATAAATAGAGATTAAAAAAAAAAGTTTCCTTCAGAACAAGCAAATCAGGCCAAGGTTCTAAGATTCAGTATGATAGCATGGCATATGGGATCAAAATCAGAGAGGCAAGGGTGCAAAATGAGATAGGTAGAGTAAAGGGTACAGCAGGTAACAACATTCTGTTGCAAAACCACTTTTACAAGATGGGAACGAGTAGGGAAAGAGTTTATCAGCAAAGCAGAAAGGACAGGAAGATAGTGAAAGCGTGTGCAAACTGTGCTGAAGTTTTGACTTATTTCCACTTCCAGTTTTGCTAAAATTCTTCCATTATGACGCAACTAAAATAATGAAAGAGATGTTAGACATGTTGAAATACTGAACGTACACTTAGGAAAGACAGGTATTTTGATGGGAATTTAAAATCACAGTCCTTTCCAAAATCACCATTAAGTATTTGGGGAAAAGGCAATGTTCATCCTTAACAGTGCTTGTGATATGGGGAGGTGCCAGGTTCTGGTTGGTTTTATCTAATGTATGTGTTTAGAAATGAATGAATGAATGAATGAATGAATGAATGAATGAATGAATGAATGAATGAATGAACGAATGAATGAGAAAGAGAAAATGTGACCAAGAGAGGACAGAAGAAAGGGAAAGAGGGAGAGAAGGAAGAATGCAACTGTAGATGATTTTAGAAGATTCAGTCTAAATTCAATTCCTGGAAAATATTGAGCAGAAAGCTAGTGCTTCTGTTTGTAGTCCCCCAGAAGGTAACATGCTACGAGTCATCAGCAAACATCAGTTTGTTGAATTTAACTATCAAGCAAGCAATCAACTCTACAAATACGAAGCAGGAATTACTGGCCAATCTCTCACAGGCAGACAGAAGCTAAGGATCAGTATCAAAGCACAACTGAATCAATAAAATGTGGGGATTGTGAAAACAACAAACTTCACCTGAAACGTCTGTAACAAGAAGTCTCATTTATGTGTAAAATGTGTGACCCTCATCTTCTCAGCAGCTCTGAGACCTCTCCTGCACATCAGTGACTGGATGTAGGCATCAGCCTTCAAGAAAGGTGTTTGCCAGCAGTTGCCCAGCAGTTGGCCTGCTTGAGACCAACCATGATGGAGGCAGAGCTCAGTTGCACTGAAGTGGTTGTGATGATACACAGACTTGCTATGAAATGCAATATGAATATGAATGATGTGTTGTAAACAGTCCCTGGGTTGCACACTCTAAGCAGAGGAGTACATCACGGATGAACTAATTCTTCAGCTCTTCCAACTAATGCACACTCTGGGAGAAATTCATCTGTAGCTGTATTTTCTTGCTGGACATCTCCAGTACAGGTGTCTGAAGCTATAAAATGAATTCAGCCAGCTCTAAGGGGTGATAGATGATGTCTGCTGAGCATGCAAGCTATCTAAATGCATTTTCCAGGCACAAAAATCTGTCATGAGGAAGATCCCACACATGACAGAAGCATCATCATATCCCTGCAGCATCGTGTCTCTACATGGCCATGGGTGATCCATCCGCATGGATGGACCTGGGCAAGGAACCTCATGAGGTTGGGCAGAGAGGATCCTTATGATTTTCAACGTGG